TAGAGATGGAACACAGCAGCAAGGGGTCACAGTTGGAAGTTGAAGACTCAGATGAATCACAAGGATGCTAGGAAGTATTTCTTCAGTCACAGAGTTGTCAGGAAGTGAAATAGTCTGGGAATTGATGTAGTGGAGGCAGGATCCATACATAGTTTTAAGAAGAGGTATGATAAAGCTCATGGAGCATGAAGAGAGTGGACCTAGTAGTGATCAGTGAAGAGGCGGGGCAGGGAGCAGTAAATCGACCCCTGCAACCACAAACAGGTAAGTACACACACACACACACACACTTTACCAGCTCTGCCTCATCCCTTACTCAGGGGGGGGGTAAGGTTTTTTTAATTACCTGGGGGTGTTGTATCTGGGGAGGGGAGGTAATCATCGATCATGGACCCCCCTGCATGACACCCCCTACCCCTACCCCCCAGCGTGCATGCCAGCATACAAGAGTGTACATGGCACAGCCTAGCTGACTTGTACACTACAAAAATCATTACATGGAAGTATGCAGAGGTGTGGTCCACCCTCTCTCTCTCTCTCTCTCTCTCTCCCTCTCTCTCTCTCTCTCTCTCTATCCTCCCTCCTTCTCTTCTCCCTCCTTCTCCCATATTCTCTTCTCCTTCCTCCTCCTAATAGGGAAATGATAGGATGGATAATGAGAACCTTCAAAACAAGGGATGGATAACAAGAACCTTCAAAACTAGAGATGGATAATGAGAACCTTCAAAACTAGAGATGGATAACGAGAACCTTTAAAACCACTGATGGATAATTAAAATCTTTAAAACTAGAGATGGTTAATGAGAACCTTCAAAGCTAGAGATAAACAATGAGAACCTTAAAACTTAGGGATGGATAACAAGACTCTTCAAAATAAGGGATAGATAATGAGAACCTTCAAAACTAAGGATGCCAACCCAATGATGATTCTCTTCAAATCACTTGTTCTCTCTAGACTCTAGTATTGCTGAAGAATTGAAACACTTATGCAACATACAGGAATCTTTACTGAATCTTAATCTTCAATAAAGATTTCCATATGTCGCATAAGTCTCATTTCTTCAACTTGTCAGTTTTCAAAACCATTCATCACATCTGAAGTACTGCTGTACACTAACGGCCCCTTTCAAAGCAGGCGAAATTGCAAACCTGGAGAATATACAGAATATAGAGAGAGCCAGTGGAAGAGTGTGTGATGCAGCAGTGTTATACAGGGACACATGTGGGCGGGGCCTGCTAATGAGAGTAGGTCATGAATTAATATGGCTGACAGTAGGTCTGCTGGTCTATGGATCACAGGTCTGCTGGACCATGCTACACAGGTCTGCTGGTCCATGCTGCACATGTCTACTGGTTCATGCTACACAGGTCTGCAGGTCCATGCTACACAGGTCTGCTGGACCATGCTACACAGGTCTGCTGGACCATGCTACACAGGTCTGCTGGACCATGCTACACAGGTCTTCTGAACCATGCTACACAGGTCTGCTGGTACATGCTACACAGGTCTGCTGGTCCATACTGCACACATCTGCTGGAGCATGCTACACAGGTCTGCTGGAGCATGCTACACAGGTCTGCTGGAGCATGCTACACAGGTCTGCTGGAGCATGCTACACAGGTCTGCTGGAACATGCTACACAGGTCTGCTGGAACATGCTACACAGGTCTGCTGGAGCATGCTACACAGGTCTGCTGGACCATGCTACGTAGGTCTGCTGGACCATGCTACACAGGTCTGCTGGTACATGCTACACAGGTCTGCTGGTCCATACTGCACACGTCTGCTGCACCATGCTCCACAGGTCTGCTGTCCCCTATGCTAAACCTGTAGAGGACACATGGCACCTAGACAATACACAAATAACCCGCACATAAAAGAGAGAAGCTTACGACGACGTTTCGGTCCGACTTGGACCATTGACAAAGTCGGACCGAAACGTCGTCGTAAGCTTCTCTCTTTTATGTGCGGGTTATTTGTGTATCGTTCCAGTCACGGTATTGTGCCTTCTTTTGTTATTTATGCACCTAGACAAGATTACAGTTTATGGAATGGGGGAGCGCTAAACCTGTAGGGATTATTCAGCACCTGGGAGGGATAAATAGAAGGCATTCAAGCTCAGTTCAGGGAACTGGAGCACAGATCCAATTCTCTAGATCAAGAGCCCTCACCAGCATCAAGGAATCTCCCTTGAGTGGGCATCTAGACAAATGGGATGCAATCAGGTGTGATCCAAAGAGCTGATCAGGTCCAATTCCTTGGATGAAGAGCTCCTCACTGGCATCAAGGAGCCTCCCTCGAGGATTATTATAATCAAATCAAGCGCTTAACCCATAAGAATCCTACAGCGCTGTAGGGAGGATTATGTTAATGTAAAATACGAAAGGTACAAGAGTGAGTGAGAGGGGAGAGCAAAGTTAAGGAGGTTAGTGGGAGTGGGTGTTAATCCAGGTGAAAATGAAATCAGTTTTGAAATCAAAGTTAATGTAATAGGTTAGCCTTAATTAAAAAGCCAAAAGGGAGTGTCTGTGTCAAAAGGTAGGGCTTTCAGTGAGGTAATCAGTAAGAGAGTGTCGGAGGGCTTCAAACTTGTGAAGTGGATCCTGCATACACTCTGAAAAAGAGGACACGTCCCTGCAGGATAATTTCTGCTGCAGAATTGGTCTCAGTTATCAATACATTGTAGTGTAATGTTCTTTCAATGCTTTTCCAATCAGCAATTAATACTAATTACTAAAATAAAATGGTAAAGGAAGTGACGTAAAAGCAAATGTGCAAGACTAGATGATTATTATTAACATGAGGAAGCATTAAACCTGTAGGGGTCATACTATTTTCCCTGGGGAAATGGTAGGTACTGTATAATTGTGAAGGGAAAAGCCCTTACTAAGTGGGAGTTATGATTGTTAAGACAGCCAGGAACCATTAGCGTGTTACTGCCCGCACTACCACCTAGCGAGCTGAGGCTAAACTTCAGTTCCTCAGGTCTGATTTGCTTTAATTTCTATTCCTGGTAGCATTAACCTTACCTAGTGTGGGTTGAAGTTTGGAGAATCACTTCACCTCTATTCTTCTCCTGACCAGCTCTGCTACTGGCCTGGTCAACCAGGGTAGATGCTAGTATTTGGAGCAAGATCCCTGTCACAGGACATTTTGGGACATAACGACTCATCATCTCTGAAATCCGAAATGCAGTACTGCGACCAAGTATTGACAGGATTTCCAGAACATCAGACAAACACTGCTACCCAGGATAACCAACACCATTTCTTCTAAAACATCACAGAAGACCATCCTGGACATAAGATACTCCTGTCTCAACATCACACTGGAACCACAGCGGTCAATTTTATTTTACTTAATTTTCATTAAAATCCTTAGAAAATTATCTTAGTTATTATTTATTTTTCCATTCTTTTACTTAGGGGGAAGGCATTCCATTGACAATAATGAAAAAATTATGGAGGATAGCTCACATTCCTTAGATCAAGAACTTCACTGGCATCAAGGCATTGCCTTGAAGGCTACAAGGAGAGATTCATACACAACAACAAAGTTGAAAGAATTTTATTAGTTTTAAATTGTTTATACACAACAGAGATGACAATACTGAGCATAGTCACCATGAACAAAAGCATGTATGCCACAAAATAAATTCTCACGACTATCTTTTTTCAAACATTATTTACACAAAGGAAGGGTGGAGATATTGTTTGCAGTTGTAATAGGTGTGTACAGGACTTATATATAAGGTCTGCTTACTATCCACAGTTTCAGTATCCAGGGCAGGTCCTTGGAATGTATCCCCCGTGGGTATGTGGGGGGGGGACTACTGTACTACATTATCTGTGTGCTTCACAAAAGAAATAAATCTATTATTATTATTTCTGTTAGTGGTTCATTATTAATTAATTCAGTAAAGTAGTTGAAAACAATATAATATTCCAGTAAACTGTTGACTAAACATATTGAAACATCTATTAAAAATATGCATAAATTTACTTATGCTCTAACAAGGTATTTGTCATTAATTGTCCTTGTTTTTTCTGTCATGACCCCAGTCACTTTAAAAACTCATTGTATGCTCCAAGCCTTTGTAGATTTTCAAAAACTCTGATGTATATGAACTTGAAAAAATTTAATAGCTCACAAATAGAAAAGACTGTATGTACATCACTACTGGAAAATGTGTAACCTTATTTGACCTCTCTATTATTTCCTATTGTTTTTCATCATTTATTAGCCTGAACTCTGTTTGTATTTTATCTTCCCTACATGTCAAAATTGTTTTGCTACTTTTAAGATATTTCTTTCAGTGTTTTGGAAGCTTTAATTAATTTTCTCCGTATTTAATGATAACCTGTTTACTCTCTGGTAATCAAACCATGGAACAGAAAGGGTTTGAACCCAAGGCAATTGAATCCTCTTTATGAGGTATAGAAATATACCTAACTGGATGAATCTTATTAAGCCAACTGGCTGAGTGGCTTATGCACTGGCCTGGAATTTTAGGACTCACTCGCCATGGGTTCAAATTCCAACCTGTTCCGTGGCTTGTTTGCCATCGTGTTATTACAATTTTGTGAGTCACTTTCTGGTAATGGCTGGTATCTTAACAAGTTGTTTCAGTATTTTAAAAAATTCCCACCTTAATCTGAATGCTGAGAAATTGAAATATTATTAATAATTAACCCTAGCATGAATTACACATCTTGTAATAAAAGTTGGTAGAATTACCGACAATATGTAAAGTAAAAGGACACAAGTGCAACTAATGTGACATTTTATTGTGGCAACGTTTCACTCTCCAGGAGCTTTATCAAGCCATTTATCAATGGCTTGATAAAGCTCCTGGAGAGCAAAACGTTGCCACAATATAAATGTCACATTAGTTTCACTTGTGTCCTTTTACTTTACAATTACACATCTACAATATTGTACACATCTACAATATTGTATGATTATAATTTTTTAAACTCAATGGCTGTCTCCTGCCAAGGCAGGGTGACCCAAAGAAGAAACACATTCACCATCATTCCTTCAGCTGTCTACTGACAATTAAATAGTAGCAAGGGGTTCATTATCTACTTTAAAGCTCTGATAGCATCTTGATTATGTTGCAGAGCACAATGGTGGAATGCTACACCGATGAAAAGAGAGATGGCCACATATCTTCTGATACTGCTGTCAAGGGAAAAATATAATTCTTGCGCATCTCTCTCGAGTGACAGGAGCGGAAGCCAATCAATCACTTGTCTACCTTCCATTAACCTGTCAGCCAATTTGAGGTTAGAGGCTCTCTCTCCAGCAACCTGTATAATGAAGAATTAATAAAAGATTTAATTGAGAAAGTATTGGAAACATCAGGATGTGTTTCCTTAAGATACCTGCTGTCCATGTTAACCTATCAGTAAAATAGGTACCTGGGTGTTAGTTGACTGGTGTGGGTCACATCCGGGGAACAAAACTGACTTAATTTGCCCAAAATGCTCTGAATAACAAAGTGCTTTCTATATAGCAGTATGTCACTGATGTCAGCTAGCCTTGTATACATTGTACATGTACTTGTAGAAATAAAGATTATTATTATTATTATTATTACCAGGTATTATACTGCTGAAAATTGCTAAAAGCTCATTTTCCTGAAACTTGCATAGAAACAGAGGTAACTGCATGTGCTTGAACAAATGACTAACTTGGTGTTTATGACACATGTTCAGGGATACCATTCTTCCTGGTGTCAGGAATACCATTCTTCCTGGTGTCAGGAATACCATTCTTCCTGGTGTCAGGAATACCATTCTTCCTGGTGTCAGGTGTTCCATTCTTCCTGATGTCAGGAATACCATTCTTCCTGGTGTCAGGAATACCATTCTTCCTGGTGTCAGGTGTTCCATTCTTCCTGGTGTCAGGAATACCATTCTTCCTGGTGTCAGGAATACCATTCTTCCTGGTGTCAGGTGTTCCCTTCTTCCTGGTGTTTAGGAATACCATTCTTCCTGGTGTCAGGTGTTCCATTCTTCCTGGTGTCAGGAATACCATTCTTCCTGGTGTCAGGAATACCATTCTTCCTGGTGTCAGGTGTTCCATTCTTCCTGGTGTCAGGAATACCATTCTTCCTGGTGTCAGGTGTTCCATTCTTCCTGGTGTCAGGAATACCATTCTTCCTGGTGTCAGGAATACCCATTCTTCCTGGTGTCAGGAATACCATTCTTCCTGGTGTCAGGTGTTCCATTCTTCCTGGTGTCAGGAATACCATTCTTCTGGTGTCAGGAATACCATTCTTCCTGGTGTCAGGTGTTCCATTCTTCCTGGTGTCAGGAATACCATTCTTCCTGGTGTCAGGTGTTCCATTCTTCCTGGTGTCAGGAATACCATTCTTCTGGTGTCAGGAATACCATTCTTCCTGGTGTCAGGAATACCATTCTTCCTGGTGTCAGGTGTTCCATTCTTCCTGGTGTCAGGAATACCATTCTTCCTGGTGTCAGGAATACCATTCTTCCTGGTGTCAGGAATACCATTCTTCCTGGTGTCAGGTGTTCCATCCTTCCTGGTGTCAGGAATACCATTCTTCCTGGTGTCAGGTGTTCCATTCTTCCTGGTGTCAGGAATACCATTCTTCCTGGTGTCAGAATACCATTCTTCCTGGGGTCAGGTGTTCCATTCTTCCTGGTGGGCAGGAATACCATTTTTTCCTGGTGTCAGGTGTTCCATTCTTCCTGGTGTCAGGAATACCATTCTTCCTGGTGTCAGGAATACCATTCTTCCTGGTGTCAGGAATACCATTCTTCCTGGTGTCAGGGGAAATACCATTCTTCCTGGTGTCAGGAATACCATTCTTCCTGGTGTCAGGAATACCATTCTTCCTGGTGTCAGGAATACCATTCTTCCTGGTGTCAGGAATACCATTCTTCCTGGTGTCAGGAATACCATTCTTCCCGGTGTCAGGAATACCATTCTTCCTGGTGTCAGGTGTTCCATTCTTCCTGGTGTCAGGAATACCATTCTTCCTGGTGTCAGGTGTTCCATTCTTCCTGGTGTCAGGGATCCCAGTCTTCCTGGTGTCAGGGATCCCATTCTTCCTAGTATCAGGGATACCATTCTTTCTGGTGTCAGGGATCCCATTCTTCCTAGTATCAGGGATCCCATTTTTCCTGGTTTCAGTGATCCCATTCTTCCTAGTATCAGGGATACCATTCTTTCTGGTGTCAGGGATCCCATTCTTCCTAGTATCAGGGATCCCATTTTTCCTGGTTTCATTGATCCCATTCTTCTAGTTTTAGAGATCCCATTCTTCTTGGTTTCTGAGATCTCATTCTTCCTGGTTTCAGGTTTTTTTCAGAGCCCTGCCCTGTGTCCCACTATGTTCTACATGTAAAACTGTGTTATCTGCGTGACCTCATTGCTGTAATCAAAAATTACTCTGATTTCATGGAGTGATAGGCCTCCCAAGAACTTTCATTAGGTGTCCGAGCTTTTGGTTTAAAAATGGAAAACAATGGGGTCCCTATACATGATATGCAATGAATAAACAGAAAGAGTGATGGGGGGCACAAATCACAGCCCGTAAATTGACAGTCCGACGCTCTACTATCTTCACAACCAAGCTTACAAGGGGAAGGAGATGAAATTAGTACTTACAGTACTAAATTCCGTCAGAGGTACCGTCTGTAACCCAACTGAACTCTGACGGAATATGGTAATTACTAGTTCCGACTCCTTCCTCTTGTAAGCCTGGTGGTGGAAGTAGAGCATCAGACTGTTAATTTACAGGACACAGTTTGTGCCTCTCCCATCCATCTTTCTGCTTATTCACTGACAGTTGCTTATTACAACTTAATCTGTGTTCATGATGTAATGTTTATTGTCCTTGTAGTCTAAAGTTAGGCATAAGCTTGCTTAAAATGCTCTACATAACCATGGGCTTTCTGCTTGCAATCAAATATCACCCATTTCTGAATAAACATTGGATCATGTGAAAATAAACTTTGACTATACATTATCCAAATCATTTTATAAATCAAAGTTACAAAAAACTTACATTAAGCTTAAATAATTTGTTGACCAAAGCCTCCTGCACATATATTAGACGGTCAGCTTTACTGTCATGTCTGAAGTTCAACATGGCTGTTAATATCCCTTTCATCTGTCAAGAAAAAGAAGAGAAGTCCTTATGATTATTATTATTTATTATATTTATGGGGAAGTGCCAAACCTGTAGGGGTAATGCATCCCCTGAGAAATAAGTGGGGTATACCTTCATACATGTGATGAGTTTCGAGAGTCTTGTCTGGTGCTACCCTGGTCAACTAGGCTGTTGCTGCTCATGGCCCACTGCCCCACATATCCATCACAATCTGCTTGATCTGGCACCTGCTGAAGATACTTGTCCAATTTCCTCTTGAAAACTTCTACACTTGTTCCAGCAGTACAGCCTCTAATCACCTAACGACTGAGTTCCATTCCTAAGACCACGTCGCTAAACAAATTCGTTGCTAAGTGAGGAGCACACTATAATGGTAGTGAGTTTGTGTCAACCATCTTTGATATTGCTTTAATGTCACCTTTGTACCATTTATAACATTTCTGGTATATTTTTAATATACAATACAGTACGTATTAAAAATTTTTTCAAAAAAATCAGTAGTGTATTTTATATTGAATTAAGCAGAAAGAGGAAATTAGTCTAATATAATTATTTTAATATGAAACGGGTCAAGAGCCTGTTGTAATCCAAGAATCGGTAAAGAGACGTTCAATGAAGAGGCTGTACTTCTGATATTTTCTGGTAAGTGTTGAATAATCTGGGGCCACAATGTTGCAAAGGGGTTCCGTTATTGTGCCCACCGCACTCCGCTTGTCACTGGGTTTGTTTTTTTTTGGGTAATCGGGTTTATCAAAAAGGGGAAGGGAGCCCAAAGTTTAGATTGAGAACCCCCTCTAACCAGCATCAAGCATCCTCCTTAAAGGTATAGGTCTTGGGGAAAATAAAAATTTTGAAATTTTTAAATACGGGGGGCCCCCATTCACACAGTTCAAAAATATAGCACTGGTCTTCCCCTTACACAACCCCCTGTCGGTGAAAGGGGTAAAAACACTGAAAAATGAACAACAGCTCAATTGAAAGCCAACAAAAACGTGGAACACCGAAAACAGGTGCTTTATACGTGGGGCTCCCTGAATTAATTCTTTGTTTGTTTACTCATTCATTCATTTGTACACTCTTTCTTTTTCTCACCTCTTCAGTCTTTCCTTTACAATACTTTCACATGTAATTATATTCATCCAATTAATTTTCATTTCATAATGCCAACATACAAAAATGGAAAAATAATCTGAACAAAGTTTTTTGAACCCTACAAATATACTTATCAGAAAAAGAAAAGATAAGAAAAAGAAAAAAGAGTTTTTTTTTTTTTTTAAGATTATTTTACAAACTATACGTGCATAAAATCAAATGAGAAAGGGAAAAAAGTTACTGTACACTTTTGATCTTATTTCCCAGCTTAAAACTTTCCAGATTTTAAAAATTTTTTAGTTTGAAAATTCTTACCCTTTAAATTCCATTGAAAACTTCTTTGGGTTTGATATTCCAGTTTTTAAATCCAGTGTGAAAATTTCCATTTTGAAACCAGTTTGAAAAAATTCTTAGTCTGAAATTCCTATTTCCCTTTTTGGTTCCCTATAAGACTGAGCAACATTTTTTAAAAAGTATCTAAAGCACATGCAAAGGAATTTCACATTGTGGTTTGCTTCAGGAAAGTTATCACTGTCCGCTAATCTGGCAAATACTCTCTCAGCCGAGTATGCTAGCAACTTAACACATAATTTTTACAGTGGTGAACTGTACATATATAACTATGAATGAATAAAATACTGGATGGGAATGTGAACTGTGCTCTTAGTGCATACCAGGCCTAATGGCAGGTACAGGCAGGCCCTGAGGTGCAGAGAGGTGCACCTCTCCTTCCGACAGTATTTAAGTCTCCGTACTGTCACTTGATCTTCAGATAGTTCCTGACTATGGAACTGAACTTCTCCAGGCTGAGGGACTGACAACCTCATATTCTACGACTTCAAGGGTGATGGACTGATTACATCGTCTTCACATCTCTACTGTTCCTGCCTACTTTCTGTATTCGACTGAAGAAGCCTACTGTGTAGGCGAAACGTTTCGGAATAAAGTTGCCTAACTGTTGCCTATGTGTCTTACCTACCAACCTGTCGGTATTGTATACCATTTTGATGTTCAACCTTTATATTATAATAATAAGGTAAAAGGACCCCAATGGAAATAAGTCACTCTGACTTTTTTGGGTTATCCCAGGTTCTCTACACATATGCTGCTATGTATGATAATTCTATGTAACTGTATTTGTGTATACCTGAATAAACTTACTTACTTACTTACAATTCATCTAATATGACATAAACAATATTAATAACATAGAAACATGCCATATACACTAGAATGAATATGTCATTACGTATGTGGCTAGTGGTGGTGACTGACTTACTGACTGACTTATGGGCCTGACTGACTGACCAAATTATTTGACTGACTGAATTACTTAACTGACTGACTTGAATGAATGACTTACTGACTTGACTGACTGAATGACTTTACTGACTGACTTGACTGAATGACTTTCTGACTTGACTGACTGACTTACTGACTTTCTGACTTGACTGACTGACTTAACTGACTGACTTGACCAAATGACTAAATGACTTACTTGACTGACTGACATACAGATTTGACTGACTTACTGACTTGACTGACTGACTGACTGAATAACTTAATTGACTGACTGAATGACTTGACTGACTTACTGAATGACTTAAAGTTAGACTTTTTCACTGAAGAGGACCCTGAAATGGTGTCTAGAGCAGCTGATGCCTTACTGTCAGTTGTATAATGTACTGCAGGGTAAAATAAAACAAATTCATTACAGAATTTATGCACACTCCAGTACAACCATCAACTTCAGTACCAGAACCTCTACCATCCACCTCAGCCCAGTAGTGCCACAACATAACTCTCCACTGTCTTCACAATCATCCACAAACACCAGCACCCACAATTTAAGGTGAGAAATACTATTATTCCTGTTGCAGTTACAGTCTTAACCCTTTGACTGTCACGGCCGTATATATACGTCTTACGAGGTACCGTGTTTGACGTATATATACTCATAAATTCTAGCGCCTTCAAATCAAGCAGGAGAAAGCTGGTAGGCCCACATGTGAGAGAATGGGTCTGTGTGGTCAGTGTGCACCACATAAAAAAAATCCTGGAGCACGCAGTGCATAATGAGAAAAAAAAAAACTCCGACCATTTTTTTTAATTAAAATGCCGACTTTGTGGTCTATTTTCGTATAGTATTTATGATTGTATTCTCATTTTCTTGGTCTCATTTGATAGAATGGAAAACTTATTATAGAAATAGAGGTGATTTTGATTGATTTTACTATAAAAAGAACCTGGAAATGGAGCTCAAAGTAGCGGAAATGTTTGATTTTTGCCAATGTTCAAAAGTAAACAAATGATGTCATTGTCCAATAAATGTCCAACTAGCCATTCTAATATGCAGTCATGAATGGGTTGATGTTATTTATACAATTATTACAGTATTGCAGTAGTCTGCATAATAGTAAGTCTTCTATTTTTTGTTTGAATAAAAATTCAAAATAGAAAGCAAGAGTAATATCAGAGGGGACTGGAGACATGACTGATGAACAAAGAAAATGTTATTTTAGAGCCAGGAATGTCTGCATTGTTCATTCTGGACCTTATTTTGAAATTGTCATATTTTTTAATTTTCGTGAATTGGCCAAATTGCAAATTTCTGACCACATTACTGGGTAGTTGAAATGAAATTGGTAAATGGGCAGTTTCTTGTACTCAATCGATAGAAAAAAATGGAGTTCTAAAGAAATAGCTATGAGTTTGGTCGACTGGAACAAAGGAATTAGTTGAAAATAGGGCTCAAAGTGGGCGAAATCGCCGATTTGTAAATATTGCCGAGATCGCTAACTTCGTGAGAGCATAATTCCGTCAGTTTTCCATCAAATTTCGTTTTTTTTTGGTGCCATTACAATCGGGAAAAGATTCTCTATCATTTCATAAGAAAAAAAAAATTTTTTTTTTTTGAAATTTTGCGAAAACCAGGAACACCCAGGATTGGGGGTTGCGACAATGAACAACAATTTTTGGGTTTTCCCAACTTTTTTTTTTTGTAAGATTTTGGAAGTCAAAAAAAAGTTGTTTGAGGGGGAAAATTTGGGCATCCTGAAAAAAAAAAATCGAGGGGGAGCGACTGCTTGTATCCTGAAAAACACCGTATGGGGGGGGGCCATTTGAAAGCTGGGGTTTCCCCAGTATACATCTTTCTTTTTTTTCACCCCACACCGCCGTATCCCACCGGGGCGGGAAATACATAAAAAATTTATAAAAAAATTTGAAAAAGGGTAGATAAGGAAGTTGTCTTGTTTTACAATATGTATAAAAGGACAAAATGCCAAATTTTTAAAACTAAGTTTAAAAAAAAAAATTTTAAAAAAATATTGGGGCGGGAGGCTGGAATAAAATAAAAAAAAAATTTAAATGTGCCAGGACGATGGAATTTTAAAATTTATCTGTGAAAAATTTTTACAAAACTTAAAACCCTGAAAAATGGGAAATTTATTACCAAAAATAATCATTTTTTTTAAAACACTTAAAAAAAAAAAAACGGCACAAACGGGAAACTTGGGAAACAATACACAAAAAACCCCAAAAACACGGGAAAATGAAACTAATGACGGTGTTTTGGTCCAACTTGGTCAAGAAATTTCCAAAATTATTTTTAAAAAACCCAATTTACAAACTTATAAAAAAACAATAAATTTAAGTTATTCTTTTTTAGTCTTATGATAGACTTAATTTGCCTGAAATCTTTGCATACAAAAGGGTTTCAAAAAGCACACCTCAATGCACCCATCATGTAAATTTTTTTGATACTGAAAAAAAAAATTTTTTAAATTTTTTAAGACAAAGACAAAGTTTTAAATTTCAACATAAAAAGAAATCTGTACAGAGTTTGGGTGCTTTTCCTTGTGTATCCCAAAAAACCCCAAGTTATGCAGAGCATTTCTGGGGGAAAAGTAGGACTAAAAAGTCATCACGATTTTAAAACCCTCCCATGAAATGGGTTTTTTAAATTTTTTAAAACCCCTTACCTTTTCTAGAGCCGAGAAATTTATATAGGCCAAAGGGGGGTGTTTTCCCGGCAGACGGCCAAGTTACTTTTTTTTTCCCACAAAATAAAGATCGGCTGGAGGAACCCCTTCTCCACAACTTCTAAACCCTAAATTTTAAATTTAATTCTGTTTACTTGCATATGTTTAAATCAGAAACCCTATTTCACAAAAACCCTGAAAATTTTCGGGTTTCATACATTACTTTTAAAATTCAGTTTAAAAAGGCAGCCCAACCTAAATTC